AACTACTATTTGTCAACAACGATATTGGACTTCCTCGCACTAATGGGCCACCCTGTATATCAATACTTATAAATGGAGTAACTGCCACAAACGTTTAGATATGGGAAATAAACATTTATATATTTGAGATGACGGTAACATAAAAATTTACTACTTTTATGACAAGCCCATGCCCCGCTCTCGGCAAGTTTTACGTGTTTATTTTTAAATTGCTCACTAGGCGATCAGTCGGAAAATTGTCGAGAGAAAATGGAAAATATGGTCTATCGATTTAAAAAAAAGACAACTCAGATCTGACCTCCGTGAAAGTTTTATTGCTACCTAACTTTACTGTCTGATAGCGTGAAACAGTTTCATTCCGTTTTATTCTAAAAATAAACATATATAGATTTAAATATAAAAATATTATAAAAAGACTATACCATTACCCTTATTTTATTATTGATAACTAAGGTTTTAATTTTATATTTCTGATACTTTTTACATTACAAACTTTAAATTTCTACTGAACTTGCAATCGTTGATTGAAAGAATTGGGAAGATACGCAACCTAATGGGCAAATTCGTGACAAGACTGATTTGATTTCCTCTTACGTTTCAAGTGCTGTACGGTGGAGCCACCAACCGTTCTGCGGCCAACGCATAAAACACTCCTTTTCAATGCGACAGTGTTGCCATATTAAAATGTGAAATATCTGTAATGTTTGGCGAAAATGTCTTTGGATGAAAAATCCGCGTTTATGAATTTATTCGTGTTAAATAATATAGAATAAACAACAAAAATATACATTCTTTTATAGATATTGAATAGGTTTGGAAATGACAACTATTGACATTTACCGTAATATTTTACATATGAAATAACTGCGATCTTCATTTCCAAGCCAACTCTGACGCCGTTCTTTGTTTAATCGTATAATATTATATTAAATTGTTGAAAATTATAGAAAATCTGTATTAATTACCTACTGTGCCCAAAATCCGTAAATCTACAGATTAATCCGTAGTTCTGGCAACACTGTCTCCGGCAACCGCCCACTCTGTCGACTGAAAGCAGAACTACGGTACAGTATTCTTTATCCGCTGCGCTTTAGACGACCATCAGCGCGTAGCGGCGCAGAGCTAAACTAAATCTCGGACATGTTTTGTGCCACGAAATAGCTCATAAGGTTGCGCATCTTCATTTCTTCAATCAATGTTGCAATGCTCTGTTAGTAGACCTACAGAAGTTTTGACAGTTTTCCTATATGTATTTCAGATAATGTTGTAAATTTTGGAAATTTAGATTGGATTAGTATTTCTTTGTAAGCATATAAACTTTTTTGGTGGTTATATATTTTTTTTTCTTAAATTTATAGGCGCATTCTCATGACTCGCGTACTTTACAAACATTTGTGCTTTGATTTAAACCTTTTTTGTTGTGATTCTGTTTTCTATTTAATTATTACGAATTAGGTTCTTTACGAATTATAATAGAATATCTATCTACTAATACTTACTAAAAGTTACTAATATCAAATAACAATCTAAGCTCCTTATAAGTTGCTCGAAAGCTGTTTTGTAATAATTAAAATTTTAGTCTCACTTCTCAAAATATAAACTCTCATATTCGGAATTTGAATGTCAATTCCTGGCATATCATATTCGGAATACCTTATCGATCTGGACCAGCATCTTGTTAACACGAGCTCAACTATCTCTATTAGCCGAAATTAAACCGCATTGGTGTAAGTGGGTTGGTTAATTCATTAGGAAGTCATTATAACTGATTAGTGTACATATCCAAGTTATTATCGTATTATGGTATCACCGAAATTACGAACTAATTTACAAGTTACACCACCTTTTTCTTTCACTAGAAGTATGTCCTGATTAGAGTGCAATATAGAGGGTACAAATTAAAATACTCGTATTAATATTCAATAAAATGAAAAATATACCAAATAAAATAAATGTACCGATTTCTTTCGAAAATCGACATCTATGAAAATATGAACCCTTCCTGGACACAAACGGTACATTGTGAGACAGGAAATTGTAGAGAGAAACAAGCCCTATAACATAGGATACAACATTTTAATGAACAGTGCTTTCCATAAAATCAGTAAAATGAAAAATATACGAAATAAAATAAATGTACCGATTTCTTTCGAAAATCGACATCTATGAAAATATGAACCCTTCCTGGACACAAACGGTACATTGTGAGACAGGAAATTGTAGAGAGAAACAAGCCCTATAACATAGGATACAACATTTTAATGAACAGTGCTTTCCATAAAATCAATAAAATGAAAAATATACGAAATAAAATAAATGTCCTGATTTCTTTCGAAAATCGACATCTATGAAAATATGAACCCTTCCTGGACACAAACGGTACACTGTGAGACAGGAAATTGTAGAGAGAAACAAGCCCCATATAATAGGATATAACATTTTAATGAACAGTGCTTTCCATAAAATCAATAAAATGAAAAATATACAAAATAAAATAAATGTACTGATTTCTTTCGAAAATCGACAACTATGAAAATATGAACCCTTCCTGGACATAAACGGTACAGTGTGAAACAGGAAATTATAGAGAGAAACAAGCCCTATAACATAGGATACAACATTTTAATGAACAGTGCTTTCCATAAAATCAATAAAATGAAAAATATACGAAATAATATACATGTTCTGATTTCTTTCGAAAATCGACAACTATGAAAATATGAACCCTTCCTGGACACAAACGCTACATTGTGAGACATGAAATTGTAGAGAGAAACAAGCCCTATAAAATAGGATACAACACTTTAATGAACAGTGCTTTCCATAAAATCAATAAAATAAAAAATATAGGAAATAATATACAAGTTCTGATTTCTTTCAAAAATCGACAACTATAAAAATATGAACCCTTCCTGGACACAAACGGTACATTGTGAGACAGGAAATTGTAGAGAGAAACAAGCCCTATAACATAGGATACAACATTTTAATGAACAGTGCTTTCCATAAAATCAGTAAAATGAAAAATATACGAAATAAAATAAATGTACCGATTTCTTTCTGAAAATCGACATCTATGAAAATATGAACCCTTCCTGGACACAAACGGTACATTGTGAGACAGGAAATTGTAGAGAAACAAGCCCTATAACATAGGATACAACATTTTAATGAACAGTGCTTTCCATAAAATCAGTAAAATGAAAAATATACGAAATAAAATAAATGTACCGATTTCTTTCGAAAATCGACATCTATGAAAATATGAACCCTTCCTGGACACAAACGGTACATTGTGAGACAGGAAATTGTAGAGAGAAACAAGCCCTATAACATAGGATACAACATTTTAATGAACAGTGCTTTCCATAAAATCAGTAAAATGAAAAAATATACGAAATAAAATAAATGTACCGATTTCTTTCGAAAATCGACATCTATGAAAATATGAACCCTTCCTGGACACAAACGGTACATTGTGAGACAGGAAATTGTAGAGAGAAACAAGCCCTATAACATAGGATACAACATTTACGACAGTATCTTTGGATGAAAAATCCGCGTTTATGTGTTGAAAATTTATTCGTGTTAAATATAGAATAAACAACAAATATCAAAATTCTTTTATAGGTATTGAATATTTCGTATGATCCAAAAAAGTGGTTTAGTTGGCTTGGAAATGACGACTATTGACATTTGCCATAATATTTTACATTGTTTACTTCATTTCCATGCCAAGTGAGTCAGTCACTTAAGGATTTTATATATTAGTATAGACTACATTTAGCTACTTCTAAATTACTCTTCTAAACTAAAATTGTACTTGAATATATAAAACGATAGTATAAAAGCAGTAAAATGGAGACTGTTTTTAAAGTAGAAGGTATAAAAATATATGAAATTGCGAGTTGTGTTGCCACAGACACGCGAAGGATAATATTAAAGAGTTTAAATCGTGAGTTCGCTGTTTTTAAAGTATTAATCGACATTTTTTTACTGAACAAAGGTTGTCCTAATATTATTCTTTCCTGCCGACACGAAACATTTTATGTTCGGCTGAGCAAAAAAATCAGACTGCACTCTATTTTTTTACAAGAAAAATAGCTTTCACACTCGCAAAGAACACACAGAGTAATCCAAAATCGAATTTACCCTATACATTTTCTGTTATATTTATATTTAGAACAAAATGAAATAAACAGAGTAAACAGGAATATAAGAAAGAAAGAAAGATGTGACCCGGAAGTACAAATTGTGTTACAGATAATCCTTAATTATAATTAGATTGTGTTTGTAAAATAGTCAGATTGTCAAAATCAGTTATGTTTGTCTCTATTTTGTGTTCTACTAATGCAGGTAGGATTAGATTTCAAAGTCCTTTGTTTTTATATGTTATTCAAACTTATCCTTTTAAATATCATCCGACTTATGCCCACATAGTAACAGGACATTTAATACATCATCTGTTATATATTATACTTTATTAAACTTAGTAATTTAATATCTTTGATTTGTGTGTTTTAAATAAGAACCTAAAATATTGATAACATTATGACTGTGTTATGAGTCTGGATTGTTGTTTGCTTTTCTTTTTTTTGTTTCTTTTTGTAACATATGTACCCTTAAATGTGTTTTTTTAATTTGTTTGAGATGTATTAGTGTAGTCTATAAGGTTATTTTTAATAAACTATACACACATTAAAAATAGATATAAAAGACGTGGTTATCATGTTCTTTTATATTATGACAAAGATATAAATTATTTCTTTCAAAAAGCTCCATTAACGAAGGAAATGGAAAATATAAATTATTATGTTTGGTATATTTATGTAATTTATTATGTCTTGCGTTCTTTTAATTAATTTTTATTGTTGGGTGCCCGAGTATACGTAGATGCTAGCAAGAATCGCACAAATAAATATTAGCATGTCATTAAGGAACACCCTGTATACACCAGAGAATCATTACTAATATTTTGTTAATGATTTAATTTCTTTCAGATTTCAGAGCCAGAGTATGTTTGACCGAAGAATGCGTCAGAACAGGTACGGTATTATTTTGAACTCTTGTTTTTATCGATATACTCGAACATCTTACGCATATATCACCCCAGCCCACATAAAACAACATCAAATAAAGTCGAATCCGGCACATCTTAAACCGATTAAACTTCGTAGGAATTTAATTTGCGTACGAGCGACGAAATACTTGCCTGGCAAACAAATTATTTTCCCGCATGCTCGGACGGACGGTTTCAATTTTCTTTGTTGTTGCTCGCGTCTCTGTATAACAAAGTTTAGTCGACTACGCGGGCTCGAAAAGTATTCGGAAGAGAAACCAAACAAAGTTGTATTTAATTTCACTTAGCATATTTTTAAGGTCTTTTAGATAGCATCAAAGAGCATGATGAAAGTCTTGAGGTTTGGACTTTAAAATGTTTGTTTTATCACGAAGTTTCAAACACAGGCAAAAATTTATTGCTTTATTATTTACTTGAGAACAAAGTTACTCAAAACTATTATTCCGTTATTCCTAAATAACCGTTTGGACTGTTACTGTTATTTATTGATGTTATTGTTACCCTTACTATCTTGAACTTCAATTTATTTCTAATACACAATTCATTATGACTTAATCTCTATATGCATTTATCTAACAATAGCAATCAGCAAAAGGAAGTAAAAAAGATAAAATCAGTATGTCAGCAACTCATAACAGTTAAAAATTGACAACAAAACTGCCAACGGTTGTCTGCTCTTTCTAAATCAAAATATAATTGCGAGTCCTCCTCCTCCTAGGTGCCTTCTCTGTTGAGATTGGCGATTAATATGGCATATATGACTCTCTGTCCAGAGCTTGGTGAATAAGGGTGTTTTTGTCGGTGTGGGTCCAATCTCTAATGTTACTTAGCCATGATTTCTTTTTCCTCCCTATGCTACGTTTTCAGCTTAATAAAACATGTATAGTCTGTCCAACGAGAAGATCCTTGACAGTGATAGATGTGTCTGTCATTTTAATTTCAAAGTAGTTTATTTTATTTTACAAAGAAATAAGTTGGTACAACTGGAACGCATAGCAGGAAATATTTAAAATTTGATTGAGAAGATGACAAGTGATTACTTCAAAATATTGTGAAAAACTGTATAAAACTGAAAAAATGTAATCGAGTTATTTTATTTAATAAAACCGGTATGTGTTAATACAAAACAAAACAAGAACAAGACACTACATACCAAAAAAATATAAAAAAGAACTAATTTTTACTTTCAAGCTTTATGAAACTACCCGCATTTATGATTATATTTATCAATATAACTTATGTACAAATACAAATTTGTAATATTCCACAGGAAGAAATAAAACAACATAGGTAAATAAAACAAACTATTTATATATATATAAATAATAACACCTACCAAATTTTATACCTTAAAGGTTGATTAATTAACTTTAATCTTAATTTTTTAAACCAGTACCTTTTGACATTATTTTTCTGCAGTACTAAAATCCATTATTTACCTATCGTGTGATGTCGATATTTTACAGCTACTCCAGTTTTTAGTATGTGTTTAGTTTGATCCTTCTACCATATATGAGATGCACTTATCTACGACGAGATGGTATACAAACTTTAACGATGGCAACTTCATTGGTGTATAAGACTTTCTGCCTGGGTAGCGAGTATTAACCATAAACTGTGCTCTGGGTCTACAGTTAATTTTCACTCGATTTTTCCTCCACTTGACTTCAAAGACACAAAACACACGTAATAATACGAATCAAAATGCATCATCTTCCAAAACGCAGGGTATTTAACAAAAGTTGACACAAAAAGTATAACCTATAATTTGGCAAGACTTTGACAAGCGTCAAATGATAAAAAATCTAAAGGCGAATTCATACGCATCGGCGTCCGTTTATCGTTCATCGTTCCGTCAAACCAATAAAATTGAAATACGATCTGTCATTTTTTAAATAAACCAATAAAACTGGTTAAAAACAACAAGACACGACGCATGACGGATTTATATTTAAACCCATCCATAGATAACTTAAAAATTATTAGAAACTTTTTTTAGTAAAATAAATAGATTGGTATGGGACGTCATCTGCTTTTCTTCTGTCATCGTCTGTCGAAATCTTACCTGAGAAAAAAAACAGAGTATAGTGCAGTGACTTCTGATCATATCGTTGGCAGTCACTATTAGTACAGTGTATCATCAGATCAACATATCTCTCCGGTTTAAAATAATCAGTTTCTAGTTGATAACAATTAGTGAAAAACTAAAGACAATATTCTAAACACTACTGTACAGGATGAGTCTTAAATCAGTGCAAATATTTTCAGGGCTGGTAGATCTCGATAAAAGAAACATAATTTCTTTTTACCGTTTTTGAAATAAGTCCAAAGTAACGGAGTTATTTTACTTCGAAAATTTCTAAAAAAAATATTTTTTGCTTAAATTTTGAGAACCATTTTATCTTTTGGGGTTTCTTTATTGTAAAATTGATTTACTACCTATGTTGCCATATTATCAACAAATTATGTTTTTTAACTAAAACCTAAAAAAATCCATAAATTTTTTCTAAAAATTCCAAATTTTCAAAAAGTGTTTCTGGGGTCGAAATATACGACCCCTAAAAATATTTGCACTTACTTAAGACTCACCCTGTATATAGTTAGAAGATGTACACATAGGAAAATGCTTAGTCTTGGCAAAGAAAGTTCAAACAATCAGAAATCGTCAATCTTTAGTTACATTAAACAAAATAAAAAGTTGTATTTATTAAGATAACTACATACTACATAATATAACTTAACCACTGAATATTTTGTAGCATCATCTTTAATGTCTGCTATGGATCACAATGCAGACCCTTGCGTTGATTTTTCCAATATGCCTGTGGTACAGGGAACAAAAAACATGTCATGGCCCTGAAGACAAGAGTTCGATCAGTACGTTTGAAGTCATGGCGGATCAATTACAAGTAACCCCGCGTAAGCTGAAAGTCTATCTAAGCAAAGCGCAATTGGCATTTTTAACGCCGATAAAGTTCGTCCTTAGCCACTAATCTCAAATATTACTTTCAAACGATGAGAATTTTAAATAATGGAAAAAAGGTTAAAATATTCCCCAGCTGTTTTTTAACAAAAAGACATAGAATTGCTAGCAGTTAACACCAAAAATCGCAGTTGGGACTTTACCTCATGCCTCAACATGTAATAAATATCATACTAGAAATTTTCAATAATTGTAACAAATATTTAAAAACTAACAGTAAAGAGAAAAAATATCATACAGTCTATAACCAAGAAAATAAATGATAACAATTTAATTACAAAAGCCGATAAGAGGGCAACACTATAACAATTCTTACAAAAACAGAATATAGAAAAAATAAATATTACAAATAGTGGAGATTTACTAAAATTTCTGATCCAACATGTAATTTTCAAAAAACAAATTCTTTCTATTTTAAAAAAATAACAATCTATATTACCTAATAACAATAGACTATGCCAAAATAATGAATCCTTCACCCCCATTACTCCTATGGGGTTTTGCTAAAATTACATAAAGAGACAAATAATCCAATTGGAGACCAGTCAAGTCTCAATGCCATGAAATGCTCCCTCTTATAAATTATGTCAAATACTAGCTAAAAACACTTCCTTCCATGATCAATTTTCAATCAAAATTTGCCATAAAATTCTTTTTGAGTTGCTGAATAATTTGAAAAATATTGAGATTCCACATATTAACCTCGTTTCTTTCGATGTCAAAGCCTGTTCACTTCTATCCCAACCCATGAATTGTCCTCTATTATTTGTGAACTAATTGAGTAAATCTAATCTTAATATAATAGTAAAATCAGATTTAATAACAGCAATTGAAACTTGTTTTAAACAAAACTATTTTCAGTATAACAATGAAATATTTAAACAGAAAGATGGGTTACCGATAAGGTTCCCTAATTTCACCGTTATTCGCAGAAATATTTATGGCAGATTTTGAAAAGAAGCTATTTAAAAACAAAGAAGTAGTTTAATTTCAAAAAGTAAACTATTGGGCAAGATAATGTAGATGACATTTTTGTATTTGGTCAGGCACCAGGAAATTTAAACAGTTTTTTAACATTATTAAATTCAATTAACCGAGAATACAATTTACTATTGAAAATATTAATACCATCAATTTTCTTGATGTTACAATTATAAAACAGTCTAATAGATTACAATTTGATATTTACAGGAAACCCACTACCACAGACACTGTAATACATAGTCAATCACACCAATCCTGGCAAATCAAAATGTCACCCTTTCATAGTTTAATTCATAGATTAGTAATGTTTCCACTGAGCCCAGAGAATTTTAAAAAAGAGTTAAATATTATTAAACAGATCGCCATCAACAATGGATATAAGTGTTCCCTTATTGATAATATGCTAAAGAAAAAACAAAACAAAATATTAATGAAAAATTTTTAATCCGCTAATTCTAAAGACAATAACAATTATCAACCTTTAAACTACATTCCTAATTTAACTAACAAAATATCAAATAATCTCAATAAAATAGGATGTAAAACTATTAACGTAAATAAAAGAAATTTAGGTCAAATTTTATTAAATAATAAAGACAAAACTAATGTCAAAAATAAGTCGGGTGTATATAGGGTGGATTGCAATACTGTGATGCCGTGTACATAGGCCAAACAGGTAGAAATTTAGATATAAGGATTAAAGAACATGTAAAGTATATTAATAATCTCCAGCATAGTTCTGGTCTTGCAACTCATTGTATAGTAAATAATCACAAAATTAATGAAAACTCAATTAAGTTACTACACAGAGAAACAAAAGGTAGACGTTTAAATTACATTGAACAGTTAGAAATACTAAAATCTGTTAAAAAGCAAGAAATAATGTTAACAACAAGGATTTCTAAACACATTTTTTATTACCCCTATTGTAAACTCTCTGAACCCACCCCCATAGCAAATATATATATAGTTACAGTGTAGTTAGACGATTAGTTCTTAAAAAACTCTTGAAAAAGGCCTAACAAGCCGAAACATATATGTAGAGTTAAAGTTACTCTTATTAAAAGTTTTTTAAAACATCTAAAAGCGTGCTTTATTAAAATACTAATATTTCAACGATGTTTCACAAGGAACCAACCACAGCTTCAGTACAATTTATTAAAAATAAAAAAGTTGTATTTATTAAGATAACTACATACTACATAATATAACTTAACCACTGAATATTTTGTAGCATCATCTTTAATGTCTGCCATGGATCACAATGCAGACCCTTGCGTTGATTTTTTCCAATATGCCTGTGGTACATGGAACAAAAAACATGTCATACCTGAAGACAAGAGTTCGATCAGTACGTTTGAAGTCATGGCGGACCAATTACAAGTAATCCTCAAAGGTAAGCTGAAAGTCTATATAAGCAAAGGCAATTACATTTTTAACGCTTACATGTTAGGAATATTATACATAAAAAATGTCGATATAATGTAGTTTACAAGAAAAGTAATTTTACTGTCCCATAAAGTTCGTGTCCTTAGCCACTAATCTTGAGGTCAATGTCGTTCTGTTGTCCAGAAATATATACGAAATTATAAGATATATAATATAACATGTCTTTATAATTCATTTATTGATTAGAATTATAGCCATAATGAGAAGAAAAACATATTAGTAATAGGTCAAGATAGGTAATAAAAAAAAGAATAAATGATCTTCATATCCCATTATGTTATGAAAAATAAAACATTTTAATATACCGGGTGCGTCTCAAAAGTAGCTGACCCTATAGGTTTTAATTTTTATCAGATAAAAAAATGAGATTTAGTATGTTAGTATATGACAATTAAGACAGAAAATGACTACAATTTTTAATTTTTAAATGGCACCCTCGGTATTTTTTTACTTTATTCGATAGAATGACATATTATATGTAAACTTTTGACATTTTTGCACATGGTTTATTTGAAATTGTAATATAAAGACAATTTGACTCGAATTACCAAGCGAGTGGTACCAAATTATTCGTAAAAATGATTTTTCCAAATATGCTAATGAGCCAGCCTCATTTTATTTGAAAAAAAATGAAATATGATTGAAAATACGATTTGGGCATCTTTTAACCGGCCAGGACAAGACATTAAAACATCAGATGACCAAATCTATTTTCCCAAGACTCCTTGATTAAAAATTAGGGTTTTTAACACAGCCACGGCACTCTAGATTGAAATTTAAAATACAATTTTTAAGCGAGGATTTCAAAAGCTGACATATGATGTCATTCTGTTCAAAGTGTCATTTTCTATCGAATAAAGTAAAAAAATACCAACGTTAAAAATCACAAGTTATAGTCATTTCCGGTAAAACCGAAAACAATTGAATACGTCAATCAATCCTAATTTATGTCATATACTAGCATATCAAATATCGTCGTTTTATCTGAAAAAATAAAAAAGTTATAGGGGGTGAGCCACTTTTGAGACGCACCGGTATTGTAAATACCGGAAAATAAAATATTAACTACAAAATATTTTGACATAATTGGAAAAACACTAATTGGAATTGTTTAGATGTTGGAATTAAAGAAGAGTTTGTTAATTGATAACTTAAACTTATTTGATTATATTAGTACATTACCAAAGAATATTAAATTTTATTTATTAATTATAAAATCTGAACAATGGATAACATTTTTAATGTCTGTAAAAAACGTAATTATTACTACAGTTTGTTTATCTAATTCAATTATGGATTAGAGTAATTATAATAATTATAATTAAATGAAGAGTAAGGTACTAATAGGTCAAGATAGTGAAAATAAGAGAGTAAATGACATTCATATTCCATTACATTATGAAAAATATGATATTGTTTTCTATACAGGGTTGTTCACCACATACGACACGGAGTATTGTAGCTAAACGACTAGATTTTTACAAATTGTAAGTTTTGGGTTCGTTGAAGGACTATTAGAGCTACCATCTAAAAATATGTTTACAAGATACAGAGTGTCCCAAATAAATAAAAAATATCAAAGTTGTATTTTTTTTAATGGAACACCCTATATATTATTACATTTTTAGTTTGTACGATTAAAATAAAGGTAAATTTGGTTAAGGTTTATTACACTTAAACCTTACCGTTTTTGAAATATTTTCATTTTTGTGAAATTGCAGTATAAATTTTAAGGCTTCATTTCTCCGAGGGTATCAAATTTTTTAATACTAAATATTTACTGAAGTTTATTTATTGATCAGTTATTGTGTTGCAATAATAAAAACTTTACTACCTTATACAGAGTGTTTATTTTAATAGTTAAAATTTATTTTAAATAATTACTAGCTTTAAACGGCAATAACTTGTTTAATTTAAATGGAACACCCTGAGAATCAGATTCACAATTTAATTGTCTATCAAATTGTATTATACCATTTTTTACCTATCTCTTCAAGTTTCCGTAGAAAATGCATTTTCTTGTAATTTAGAACTCATTTATCTATATACCCATGGAATACTGACATTTTAGATTATTTTTAAAGATGTACCAAATTTTTAAAGAGTACAGATACTAATATAGTCGATATAGTTCGTTTATTTCATAAAAGAAAATAAAAAAAACTGTTTAAATATTTATTGTTAAAGAGGACCAATTAATATGATTCGAGTATTCAAACTACATTAATTGACTGTTTGCGTTGATTAATAATAATTGCTCCAAATACTAAAAAACTGAATTATGTATGTGTATTAGACAGTGTGGTAAAAAGTAACACCTTAAAAATGATATTTACTTTTTTGACAAAGGCTTATTTATAACAGCAGAGACGTTCATTTCATAACTTATTGATATATTGATTTCTGATTCAAATCCACATTTATTTAGAATAATTTATTAACGAACACAATTAAGTATGTAGTTAATTATATTTGGACGGAAATACTGGTGGAATATTTAATTAATGGTATACTCTTTTATAAAGATTTAAATAGTTTTCTTTTTGCATACAAATGGGCTAGTAATATTATCGTTTTACTAAAAACGATAGTATTACTAGCCTGTACATTTTGTACATTTGTTGTTTTAAAAACAATCTAAAATATCAATATTCCATGGGTATATTTATAAATGAGGTCTAAATTATAAGAAAATGCATTTTCTACGAAAACTTGAAGGAATAGGTAAGAAGTGGTATAATACAATTTGATAGACAATTAAATTGTGCATCTGATTCTCATAAAATATACAGGGTGTTCTATTTAAAGTAAATAAGTTATTGCCGTTTAAAGGTAGTAATTATTTAAAATAAATTTTTAGACACTCTGTATAAGGTAGTATAATTTTTATTATTGCAACACAATAATTGATCAATAAATAAACTTATTATTAAAAACTTTGATATCCTCGGAGAAATGAAGACTTAAAATTTATACTGCAATTTCGCAAAATTGAAAATATTTCAAAAACGGTAAGGTTTAAGTGTAATAAACCTTAATCAAATTTACCTTTATTTTAATCGTAGAAACTAAAAATGCAATAATATACAGGGTGTTCCGTTTAAAAAAATACAACTTTGATATTTTTTATTTATTTGGGACACTCTGTATCTTGTAAAAATATTTTTAAATTGTAGCTCTAATAGTCCTTCAACGAACCCAAAACTTACAATTTGTAAAAATCTAATCGTTTAGCTACAATACTCCGTGTCGTATGTGGTGAACAACCCTGTATACACAGTACTTAACGTCTGCCTGATATGTAATATTCCTACTTACAGGGGTGCTAGAAGAACCTATTACTCTGGAAGATAATGAAGCAACACGAAAAGCTAAAACCTTCTACAATACCTGTATGGACATTTGTAAGTATAATAGTATTTAATTTAAATCAAAAACGCTAAAAAAGTTACCAATATTCGGGAAATCTACACTTATTATTTTTTTAGTCCAGATTCGCAAAATCGGAGATCAGCCGCTTCGTGACGTATTAGACTCTCTGGGAGGCTGGCCGGTGACAAAAGAGCAATGGAGTCCGCCAGATTTCTCCATCGAAGTGCTTCTGGGAAGACTAAGAGGCATCTATAACGAAGGATTCTTGATAGAACAGTGGATAGGACCAGACGACAAGAACAGCTCCGTAAACATCATCCAGGTGCGCACAAAGTAAGAAGTGTGTAGGTGGTAGGCAAACCAAATATGGAGTGGTCAGAATTAAAATGGACCAAGTCCAATTTTCTACTATTTTAGGTCTTTATACGTTTATAAAATACGTTTTTTTTTCAGTAGAAAAATGAATCAAGTCACACTTCACGCATTAAGCAGCTATAGCCTGTTTCTGTTTGGTTTCTGAATATTCTGTTGATTCCTTTCAAAAGTGAACTGGATCAAGTCCATAAAATTTAACGATGTGCGCGATTTTAACACACGTGATAAAGTTTAGTGTTATTTTTTTGTTGATAAAATGAATGACAATGAAACAAAATCTAAACCATTTGCACCAAGTGAATCAGATTATCAGCCATCTGAATGGTCTGATTCTATCGATCCTGAAAGTATAGTTTGCTTTTACCATTATTTTTACTATTACTGCGTTAATAAGTTTCAAATACTTAGATATCTGGCAATTTTTTTGGATCTGTATAAAACTGCGCGAGAAAGAAAAATCTTATTATTTCATATAGAATCGAATCGAAGAAAACACTATTAATATGCAATGTGAAGTCAACATGTCCCTTAATGACGAAGAAGAATGTACCGATGAACCAACTTATATCTAAAATTTCATATATTTTCAGAGGTAAAATGGTTCAAGTCCAAAAAAGTATAAACTCCAGCTTTAAATAAGTTACTTTAAAAAAACTTTAACTCTCATTTTCTCCATAATAATTATCTTCTAGGACTTGATCCAGTGCACTTCTGAACCCCTCATATACAGGGTGTTCCAGGCTAAACGTGCATTGGAAGTATTGTATTTTAAATGGGTGCCCCCATTTTTTTATTACATATTTAAATTCTCTGTAAAATTTTATAAATTTTGATATTATTAAGCAGGCAGTATTTATAATATAAGAAGTTTAAATAATTCGTTTCCTGAACAAATGGAAATAAATTGTCTGACTGTTTGACACTTAATGTCAAAGGAAGCTAGATAAAATCAAGAAAAATATACGTTTTCAAACTTAATCTTAAATAGGTAATTTAAAAACGATTTATTTTAGGTATAGGAACATGTATAGTTAAAAAGTAACGAATTGAAAAACATTTTCGCTAGTGAAATAAAAAAGTGGCTTTCCACTTGAAAAATGTGATTTATGATAATTTTTAAATCGCTCAATTCCATGACAGCTACCGCCATTATTATATGACATTTGATTGCATTAAAACTTGGTGTTTTCAGGTACGGATAGCGTGTTATAATCTGCCAGATATATTTTATTTGACTGATAGCAGAAAAACGCGTATCTTCACCTATAGATAACAGTATCTATTAGATAAATTAAACTTATCTCCCAGATATCCTATCTGGCGCCCGAACTGCCAAATAGTGCCTTATTTGTCGGATAAAGTTTTGACGCAAGAGCAAAGGCATGAGGAGATATTGATTTTATTTGATATTTGACAAAATTGCTTAACATAACCAAGACATTGTTATTATTGAAGATTTCGTTTATTCCAATAAATTCGATTTTAGATTATTTGGAAAAGACTTACCTATTCTGAGTATGTAGGCTATAATCATTTTAGAACGTATAGGGTATAAACACCAATAAACACATTGAAATGGTGCAAAAAACTATTGTTGCTAGTGCCGGACTTTATATGGACTGTTACAAAATAAAGAGAGTCTCTGTTCTGTTAGAGCATCAGAACGAAGAGAATGCATTAAGTTAGGATAATAGTGATAAAACAGTAATTTATAAATTATTTTATTTAATTCCTTTCAATTATAAACCATTACTACATATTATATAAAATGCTAATGTTTATCTGTGTCGTCTCTACTGAAGTAACGACTTGCTCTAGAAAGTTGCTTTTTTTACTAAAAGATAGTTAATTGGCTCGTCTAAAAACTGTCGTCGCCGGATTTTTTGTTTGTCATTTAATTAAAAAAAATAAAAAGTTTTTTTTTCCTGATGTCGTGGCGGATGCGCCAGGCTTCAACTAGTTTTTAATAAAGCTCTAAAGTAGGTAAAAAATAAATAAAAGTTTTTAAATCAAACTACATATTTATTTCATTTTTAATTCGCATATCTTAATTCATTAATATTATAACAGGAACCTTATAAAACCTGTTATTCAACTCACATTTGCTTTTATTTCTTTTGTGTTACAATTTTAGTTTAATTTCTTGCACTATGTACCTTATACCGAATGATCGAAAAAAAAACGGCATCCAGTTGGCTGGGAAATGATGTTCGATGATATTTCCCATATAAATTTACATATGAAATGACAGCAATCTTTATTTCATAGCCATTGCTGACGCCGAATTTTTTTCGATCATACGGTACATCTCTTCTCCATGCTGTTTTTTAAGTAACTCTCTAGCTAAACCTTGCTAAAACATCTGTATTGTGGTCCTTTGAATTCCAGTTAATTCAACTTTGTTTAGACAAGATTTTTCCTTTATTTTTTCTTTTTTTTCTGAAGTTCCATCACTTTGAGTTCTTAAAAATAAAAGTAATATGACAAAATTGTTTTTATTTAATTTTTTTTATTAAATAATTTGTACATATAATGTGTAAATGTAGCAATTATTATAGGTACTATTCATTTATTATTATTAAGACAAAAGTATAAGTGCATTTATCTATTTTATAAAATAAAAACTCAACTTAATTACTATCATTGATGCTATCCTACCTATTTCTTTACTATGAGAAGCCCTAGAACAACATATTTGTTATTACTAACAGTCTTATGCTATTTTTAATTTTCAATATTAATAACTTACCAGATGGTGGTTTTAGGATTGGTTTATAAATCTCTGCTTGCACTTTACCAGCTTCTTCCATATTTTCTAGTATCAATTGTACCAAAATGTTAATATAATAAATATAACAGTAATATCATGTAATTAAACTATAAATTACTTACAGATTATTTTTTCTTGTTTTAATTTCTTATAAATCGCATTCCATCAATAGATCTATTGCACCACCACCACTGCCGAAATTGAATTCTTTCCCTTTTTCCATAAAGGTAAATTTAAATAGCCTATACCATAATAGGACGAGTTGAAGTTGAACACAAAATATATTTTAGTTGAATTTTATTGTTTTTATTTTCATTTTGACGATCTTTTGACAACTGAATAATAACCTCACTTTTTAATCTAACGATTTGAAATTCCGAGTTTCTGTCTCTGTCTGTTGTATCAACTTTCATATATAACCATCTCAATTTCAGATATCTTATATTGGCAACACTTTCTCTACGGAGTGTCTACCGGTCCGTAGGCGGCCGTCCTCCAAATTGTTATCTATTGGATTATTTTGTATGAAAATACCCAAATGTTATATCCTATAGATATCAGGCTCTAGATTGTTTATCTTTTAGATGGTTATTTGTTAGATAAAAGTTATTTATTTATAACTGAAGAGACCGCGCCTTATAGTCTAGCTAGCAACGTTTTCGAGAAAGTATTTTAAGACGTCTGGCTCTTTGATATATCTTTTACTATGCTCTCTGGAACAGCATGCGGTCCGTTTGGCTGCCGATACCCGTTGCGTTCACTACTGCACATCGAAAGAAGATCCTATATTTTTTATTAATTTAGTCCTTTAAATTCTAGTATGGAATATAAATCGAACATGTCTCCATAGCGCAGTGCGTAGAGTTTCCGACCACGAACTGATGATTCTATTTATTATGATATTAAATATTTGTTTTTTTAATTACCAGAATTATTTAATACTTTACTATCAGAATATAAACGAAAATGAAATAAAAAAGTCTTTGCCCTGACCCGGATTCGAACTCCGAATCATCGGTTCGTGGTCGGAAACTCTACGCACTGTGCAATGGAGACATGTTCGATTTATATTCAATACTAGAATTTAAAGGACTAATAAAATTATAGAATCTTGTTTCGATGCGCAGTAGGAAACGCAACGTTTACCGGCAGCCAGACCGACCGCATGCTGTTCTAGAGAGCATAGTAAAAGATATATCAAAGAGCCAGACGTCTTAAAATACTTGTTTTTCCGACGTTGCTAGCTCTCGTACTACTATGGCACAGTGCCTGTGGTAATCACTAAATTTGACGTTTAGGCTATACACATATTTTTGACAGGCAGTTTTTTTCGTCCAAAAATTATAAATATTTTTTTTTCTCAAACATGGTTAATGTTAGATATAGAGTGTTTGATATAAAAATTCATAAAATTTTACAGAGAATTTAAGATTACATACTTAACCTTACATACCAAACCAAACCATACCAAAAACTGGGGTCCCCATTTAAAATAAGAAAGTTGCTGTCATCTTCCGGTACTTCCGGAAGTGCCGCCATATTGAAAATATTTTTAAACGATAGATCTCATTGAGAAACAATGGCAGAAACTTCTAATGCACGCTCAGTCTGGGACACCCTGTATAACACAGTAGAGCCCGCATAATTTCTACTAAAAAATATTTTATTTGTGTAAGTGCGAACAATCTTAAATTCTTCTGTTGTTGCTTGTATTTCATATCGCTCTTAAATGTATTACAAATGACGACTTTTTGTCAAATTTTCTCATCACTCTCAAGCAAATCTGAACAAAATTAAGTAAATAAGAAGTTTATGATATCGTAATTATGAACAAACATCATTTTATTTATTTCATAGAATTGTTTCTTGTTCTAAACTTTAACAAATTTTCAATATACTTATTTTTGTGAAATTTTTAATTCAAAATTAAATTTAATTTCACTGAACTTTACCCTAAATGTATATTTTATGATTTCTGGGTTACATCGCATTGTCTGTACAGCCAGTTCTCATTTTGAATAGCCTACTAAATTAATTTCCTGTTAAAGTAGCCAAAAATGAAATTCGATAACGAAAGTTACGGTTAAAATTGAGTTGTCAGTTGGATGGAGTTGGGGCACTGTCGGCCTAATTGAATAACCATTGTTTGCGGTTGCTGGTTAATTTAAACACTGTTT